TCCGGTCATGGCTTCCTTCTTTAAGTGCTGTGTTTGGAGATGCAAATAGGCATTTCAAATAGATGGAAATGACCCGCCTGGGGGAGTGCATGGGAAAACAGCCATTTGGAGTGGGTTTGCTGAGAAAAGTTTGAAATTCCAAGACTGGAGCTAATTTGTTTTCCATGAGCCTCTGGGGAGTTCTGACTGAAGCAGATGATGGGATACAGTTGGAAGTCTAAACGTGAACGACACGGCTTTACAGTTCTGTTTTCTTGGATCATTTCCAGATGTTTTACTGCATGTTTGACCATGTATGGGAACAATGCTACATTCTGGGAGTTAGCTGGAAGTTTCACATGAGCACGTGGACTACACTGACGGAAAGCAGCATTTGTTTGTATAGATATTACAGATAATAAAACATTGAATAATCAAAAATATAATATGAGAGAACCTGTGTGCCTACAAATTGTCTTGTGAGCCGTTTATAATATTGTCAACTTGTTTTCTTTACTATTTATATTCTATATTCTGTTAAAACAAATTTTGGAACTGTGATTAATTGTTGATGTTTTACCAGTTTATAGGAGTCCATTTTCACTGTTGCAGTTTGGGTTGCAATTTTATGCAGCCTACGGCTTCTTTTTTTTTTTTTTTTTTATCCTTTTAGTTTTCAGATGCTGAATATTCATATTTAGTTTTTCCAGCATGAAAACATAAAGCAAACCTTCTGTGTTTTTATATCTGCAATGGTGCAAGTAGACCTTAAAGTGGAGTTCCACCTGATTTTTTTTTTTTTTTTTTTTAATTACCGTATTTGCCGGCGTATAAGACGACCCCCCTACTTTTTCTGCTAAAATGTAGTGTTTGGGCTATACTCGCCGTATAAGACTACCCCTCTTCCAATGCACACCAGTGGGAGGAATAGTGTCTCCCATCATTAGTATCAGTGGAGGAATAGTGCTCCATCATTGGTGTCAGTGGGAGGAATAGTGCCCCATCATTGGTGTCAGTGGGAGGAATAGTGCCCCATCATTGGCATCAGTGGGAGGAATAGTGCCCCATCATTGGTATCAGTGGTAGGAATAGTGCCCCATCATTGGTGTCAGTGGGAGGAATAGTGCCCCATCATTGGTATCAGTGGGTAGGAATAGTGCCCCATCATTGGTATCAGTGGTAGGAATAGTGCCCCATCATTGGTGTCAGTGGGAGGAATAGTGTCCCATCATTGGTATCAGTGGCAGGAATAGTGCCCCATCATTGGTGTCAGTGGGAGGAATAGTGCCCCATCATTGATGTCAGTGGGAGGAATAGTGCCCCGTCATTGGTGTCATTGGGGTGAATAGTGCCCCATCATTGATGTCAGGGGAGGAATGGTGCCCCATCATTGGTGTCAGTGGGGGGTGGAATAGTGCCCCATCATTGGTGTCAGTGGGGGGTGGAATAGTGCCCCATCATTGGTGTCAATGGGGGGTGGAATGTGCCCCATCATTGGTGTCAGTGGGGGGTGGAATAGTGCCCCATCATTGGTGTCAGTGGGGGGTGGAATAGTGCCCCATCGTTGGTGTCAGTGGGGGGTGGAATAGTGCCCCATCGTTGGTGTCAGTGGGGGGGGGGGAATAGTGCCCCATCATTGGTTGTCAGTGGGGGGGAGGAATAGTGCCCCATCATTGGTATCACTGACACCAATGATGGGGCACTATTCCTCCCACTGAGACTTGCTGACCCTGTTCTCGTATGGTGCTGCTGCAGCCAGCATATGTGGTTGCAGCAGCACCTCTACACAGAACACTTACCTGCTGCTCCGGCACTCAATTTTCGCGGGGCCGCTCGGCTCCGCCCCCTCGCCGGTGATTGGCCGCCTGTGTGCCTTTCCTGAGCTACAGTTCTGGCGGCCAATCACCGGTGAGGAGGCAGAACCGAGCAGCCGCACGAACATCCAGTGGCCGAACTGAAGGAGACGCCGCGCTTCCTGGACCGGATCGTCGTGGGGCTGGATCCAGGTAAGAGACATCAGCCCCTGCAAACCCCTGTACTTAATGCCGCAGCCCCCCTAACATGTGTACCGGCGTATAAGACGACCCCCGACTTTTGAGAAGATTTTTAAGGGTCAAAAAGTCGTCTTATACGCCGGCAAATACGGTATTCCTGATTGTTCATATATAGTTTAGGAGGTTTTTTTTTTTGTTTTTTTTTATTAAGTTTCCATACCCTTTTTTTTTTTTTGCCATACTAAAAGCACTTCCGTTGTACCTTGCCACAGTGAGGTATGTCATCTCCAGCCACCTGTTGTTACCTGGGATCGGTGCGTTATCCATCCCAGGAATCAGTGAGCATCCGCCCCTTGTAATATCTCGTTTTTTTCCAAAGAACTTGTGCCGCTCAGTCTCCTTGCTGCGAAGGCGCGAGATCAAAAGGTGCAGGCTGCGATAGACCGCAGCACCTAATCCATGAAGTGTACAGTAGCCGGCTTCAGATGCCCACATCCATCATGGAACCTGCCTGCTTCTGAGATCTATGTAAGGAAATTTAGATTTACACAACTAGCATGTGTTATACAGTATCTCACAGAGCGGAGGGTTTGACTTTTCTTCTGGTGGAAAGCGGTTTCTGGCATGAGCCGAGTCCATGATCAGGCCCAGATATATAAAATGATTCGTTGTTCCAACACACACTTTTGAAGGTTCAGGATCCAAACCTTGTGAAGGGTCTGAACTGTCAAAAAAACAAGTTTAATACTTAGCCAAGTATAACAGTAAACAATGAAACGTGTAAATACAAAATCAATACTTACAATATCTCCCAGAAGTGAGAACCCCCCTCACATTTTTGTAAATATTTTATTATCTCTTCATGTGACAACACTGAAGAAATGACACTTTGCTACAATGTGACGTAGTCAGTGTACAGCTTGTATAACATGGAAATTTGTTGTCCCCTCAAAATAACTCAACACACCGCCATTAATGTCTAAACCGCTGGCAACAAAAGTGACTCCGCCCCTAAGTGACAAGGTCCAAATTGGGCCCAATTAGCCATTCTCCCTCCCTGTTGTCATGTGACTTCTTAGTGTTACAAGGTCCCAGGTGTGTTAAATTTTTTGTTATCGCTCTCTCTCTCTCATACTGGTCACTGGAAGTTTCAACATGGCACCTCATGGCAAAGAACTCTGAGGATCTGAAAAAAAGAATTGTTGCTCTACATAAAGATGGCCGAGGCTATAAGAAGATTGTCAGGACCCTGAAACTGAGCTGCAGCACGGTGTCCAAGACCATACAGCGGTGTAACAGGGCAGGTTCCACTCAGAATAGACCTTGGCATGGTCCACCAAAGAAGTTGAGTGCACATGCTCAGCGTCCTATCCAGAGGTTCTTTGGACAACGGGGGAGGTTTTTTTTTTTTTTTTTTTTGTTTTTTTTTTTTTATTATGGGGACTGGAACTCGGCTTTAATGTTTATGTACTTGGGAGCAGTAATATTTACTTATAACAAATGTAAGCTCTGCGTCAACCTTGGAAATGTCTTCATCCTCCAGTGGTGGGGGGTCACTAACAGGTAGTGACAAGGACAGTACATCTCCAGCAGTATCAACAGATTTTCTGTATTTGCTGAAAAAGTTCTTTGAACAATTAAAACTAATGAAGATACCACAGTTAGAGTAACTCTACTTTTGTTGAGAAAAAAACCTTCTCCTCAGGATGATCCCTGTACATCGCAAGGTTAATAAACTTTTGTTGTTCTGAAGAACAAGCGGTTTGTGTCCATGTTGTGCAGAGTGACTATGGAAGTAGTTTTATTATTCTCAATCAGCTGCTGCACCTGCAGGACTCTGAGGAAAGCTGCAGGGTCTGCATCCCTTTAAGCTGACCATACATTATACAATTTTCTTTAAATTTACCTTCAATTACGTAGTGCACTGGCCTGCCTGATTGTATACAAATTTAAAGTGTTTAGGTTTGACCTCATATTATATAATTGCAGGCCATACACGGGTCAAATTCCAAACTAATTTTCTTTAGAAAATCGGAAATTTTGTGCATTTTGTAATCCAGTGATGCCACCATTGATTTCGACATTCGACCATTCAAGCCTTTAATGTCACCTCCTGTTGCTACAGAAAAGGATTTTTGTGGTCAAGCATTTTCTTTTCTTTCCAGTTTGCAGTTCATGCTAATTTTTTCAATTACATTTCTCGCACGATTCTTCCATCATTGATTAGAAATTCATTTTTTTTTCAAAACATTTCCAACATGTCCGATCACTCAAACTCGATGGTTGCTCAAAAATCGGACGTTGCTGAGGCCTACTAATGGTGCGAATTTTGAACGGAAATTCTTAGAAAAGATTTTCAAAAGAGAATTCTTTGTAGTGCAGGTGCTTTGTGTCCTGTCTGCAGAGACACTTTTTGCCGACTGTAGACGGGATAAAAATCGCCCGTTTTTTTTTTTTTTTTTTTGTTACCGTTCCTGGTAACGTCGGCCGATTTAAATAAAAATCGGCCGGTTTTCTCCCCATCTATGGCCTGCATTAGGGAGGCAATGTGTACTCACTGTGGAGCACTATTGTCACCCTAAGAATACACAACACACCCCCCATCTTTGCACTTCTCAATTGTAGGGAGGAAGTGTTCTGTAGTCCTAACAAATTTCCTGTTAACATTGTTTGAAATGTCTGCATAAGTAAACCGGCACCTTAGATTTGTGTTGGAATCACCAGGTATTTTTTGCTCTTATCAAATAGATCTAACAAAACCCTCTCCGTGGTACGTTTACCTGACCAAAAGAGAGGAAATAATAAACTATAACTCCTGTATTATAATAATAATAATATTAGACGTTCATTGTGACTAGTTACTTACACTTAGTGGGCTCCGATCCCCTTTCCCATAACCTTTGTAAGATCCAATATGTGCCCCCACTTTGCTGAGATTGTTACTTTGCTGCATGAATTTTGTATATGTATTATATAGAGCATATCAGAATTTTCTGACTTATATTTCTTCTTTGTTTTGTGTTGCAGGTCGAACAGTCAAAAGTGCTAATTAAAGAAGGTGGAGTTCAGCTGCTTCTCACAATAGTGGACACACCCGGGTTTGGCGATGCGGTGGATAATAGCAACTGGTAATAGTCGTTTTTCATTGTGAAGAATTTTTATTGCGCGTTTGTTGCGCAGTACCTGCAGCATTTCAGTTTACTTAGCACTGTTCTAGTTTCTAGGGTGCTGCGATTTCAGATTTTTTTTTTTTGTTTCCGCTCCTGCAGATGAGAACGAATACAACAGCTTGATAAAGTGATTCTAGTTGAGAAGTGTTTAAGCATTTTTTTCCTATACAGAGTACATCCTTACCACTCAGGTTTAAAGACATACCTTGCATTTAAAAGGCCAGCACTATGGGCATGGCTGTTGGTAGCCTGTGTATAACTGACTAAACCAACCGCCCAGGCTCTGCTAGAAGGCAAGTGATTCTCTTCTTGGTCATTTGTGCCATTAGATCTTCTCTGGGCTGCACTACAACATATTAGTAAGCTACAGGAAACTACTGAACTTGCTAGCTGCAGTAAATATGCAAGTATTTGATTTTGGTACAATTGATATGTTGCAAAATTTAAAAAAAAAATATATATACTATGCATATGGGAAACTGTACATCCCTTAGCAGTCTAACAAGAGATTTGAGATTTCTTTTGTTCCCTTAGACACGTAGCAGTATTAGATTTTGGGTTGGCTAGTTATTATATGGTAAGATGGCCCCCGGTCAGTATCTAAGCACTGTGAACCTGTTCTGTAGTCTGTAGGCATTCTGTGTCCATGTCTCGATCCCACACAACATTGATTGTAAAGTCTTTTCCTTCCCTTTCAAGGCTCTTGTATCATTGTTATGAGAGCTTCATGGGCACCGTAGATTCATATTCATGTTCACATGAGGTTGGGGTACTCATGCACAGTGTTTGGAGGCAGACTTACTCCCTCTCTCTTTGATATTGGCATAGTAGAGTCCTCATGCATGTGTATGAACAGTAATGTAATTGTGCACAATTTTTCATCTCGGGGCACAAGAGGGATGGTTGAATTTGGGAATAGGCACGCCTGTGCCAGTTACCTTTGAAAGAGAAGGATCCCTGACGTCCAACTCCAGCCATTTAAAGAGAAAAAAAAATTAGAGCAGGGAGATGTTAAATCTTTCAGGCTTCTGTGTTAGGTCTATGATCAAATTGATTGTCTTTCTTCCTACCACAGTGACAAACTACTCCCTTCATGTTTTGACTGCTGCCATGAGAAAAAGGGAGATTAATCTCTCCAGTGGGGTCACATTGAGCCATTCAGAGTTGACAGAAGCAATGACTCCGACGTAAATCCCTAACAAATTGGCTAAAGTAAATAAAATGGAAAAATAGTGCCAATAAAACGTTGATAATCCAATACATTGGCCACGTACGTTACAAATGTGTGCATATTTAATGGTTCTTGGGTGGAATAACTACAGTAATCATTTTTCTGATTTCAGTTGGCAGCCGGTTATTGACTATATTGACAGTAAATTTGAAGACTACCTTAATGCAGAATCTCGCGTAAACAGACGTCAGATGCCAGACAACCGTGTGCACTGTTGTTTGTACTTCATTGCACCTTCAGGCCACGGGTGAGTGTTCACACAAATCTACCTGTACAGTAACTAGGAAAATGTATAACTCTGTTTTTAAAGATGAATTCCAGGTTTACTAGTCCAAGCTTGCCAGAACCAACTATTAATATTACAGAAAGAGGTTTAATAAACTGTACTAGCAATTAGAGCCTTCTCTCTCACTGGCCCCATAGACTGTACTAGCAATTAGAGCCTTCTCTCTCACTGGTCCCATACACTGTACTAGCAATTAGAGCCTTCTCTCTCACTGGTCCCATACACTGTACTAGCAATTAGAGCCTTCTCTCTCACTGGTCCCATACACTGTACTAGCAATTAGAGCCTTCTCTCTCACTGGTCCCATACACTGTACTAGCAATTAGTAGAGCCTTCTCTCTCACTGGTCCCATACACTGTACTAGCAATTAGAGCCTTCTCTCTCACTGGTCCCATACACTGTACTAGCAATTAGAGCCTTCTCTCTCACTGGTCCCATACACTGTACTAGCAATTAGAGCCTTCTCTCTCACTGGTCCCATACACTGTACTAGCAATTAGAGCCTTCTCTCTCACTGGTCCCATACACTGTACTAGCAATTAGAGCCTTCTCTCTCACTGGTCCCATACACTGTACTAGCAATTAGAGCCTTCTCTCTCACTGGTCCCATACACTATACTAGCAATTAGAGCCTTCTCTCTCACTGGTCCCATACACTATACTAGCAATTAGAGCCTTCTCTCTCACTGGTCCCATACACTGTACTAGCAATTAGAGCCTTCTCTCTCACTGGTCCCATACACTGTACTAGCAATTAGAGCCTTCTCTCTCACTGGTCCCATACACTGTACTAGCAATTAGAGCCTTCTCTCTCACTGGTCCCATACACTGTACTAGCAATTAGAGCCTTCTCTCTCACTGGTCCCATACACTGTACTAGCAATTAGAGCCTTCTCTCTCACTGGTCCCATACACTGTACTAGCAATTAGAGCCTTCTCTCTCACTGGTCCCATACACTGTACTAGCAATTAGAGCCTTCTCTCTCACTGGTCCCATACACTGTACTAGCAATTAGAGCCTTCTCTCTCACTGGTCCCATACACTGTACTAGCAATTAGAGCCTTCTCTCTCACTGGTCCCATACACTGTACTAGCAATTAGAGCCTTCTCTCTCACTGGTCCCATACACTGTACTAGCAATTAGAGCCTTCTCTCTCACTGGTCCCATACACTGTACTAGCAATTAGAGCCTTCTCTCTCACTGGTCCCATACACTATACTAGCAATTAGAGCCTTCTCTCTCACTGGTCCCATACACATGTTCACAGCCAGCACTATGCAAAGTAATAGAGCTTTGTCCGACTTGGAGAGCTTTCCCTCCATTTCTCCTTACTGTATCCTATCATGAGAGGGTAAAACAGGTGCTGCAGTGCAGGGGGGCAGTAGATTTTTAAAAAATGTTCTAAAACCCTGAAAAGATAAAAGCATGTATTACGGACCTCAGCACCATGTTTGCTCTGTACGTTCTTCCCAAGCCTTTGGTTGCTATTCATTTCATCTGTCAAATTGCCTGTTCTCATGTGCTTTTTTTGATGGCCACATCCTCTAACGGGGTCCCATTAAGCCAGGGGTGTCAAACTCATTTTCATCGTGGGCCACAACAGCATTATGGTTACCCTCAAAGGGCTGGTTTTATATGTAAGACTAGATGTGCAGAGCAACCCACCACTCCTTACATCAGATGTCAACAGCCCCCCGAAAAAACCCCACCACCACCTGTCAAGAGTCCCCCTCCCTCTTACATCACAGTGCACCTCCCTTACCTTGTGCTGCTGGGAAGAATGTACAGGGTCTGGAGTAAGACCAGAGGAGGGCTGGAGTCGGCTGAAACCAGTGGAGGCGGAGACGAGGGGGTGCTGCAGCTGCACAGAGAAGCACAGGATCTGTAGGAGGAGTTCTGTCCTCTCCTCTCTGCTGCTGACTGCTGAGACAAGGAGAGGATGGAGACGACGAGGGGGTGCTGCTGCAGCTGCACAGAGAAGCACAGGATCTGTAGGAGGAGTTCTGTCCTCTCTGCTGCTGACTGCTGAGACAAGGAGAGGATGGAGACGAGGGGGTGCTGCAGCTGCACAGAGAAGCACAGGATCTGTAGGAGGAGTTCTGTCCTCTCTGCTGCTGACTGCTGAGACAAGGAGAGGATGGAGACGAGGGGGGTGCCACAGTCGCAGCAGAGGTGCGAGGGCCACATGAAGTGGCCTGGTGGGCCGGATTTGGCCCGCAGACCTTGTGTTTGACACATGTACATTAAGCCACCCTGGTGTACCATATGCTGCTTTGACAGCAGCAGTAGCCTGCATTGATCATTCATATTAGTTGCATGTATCATCATTGTTCCCGCTCCCCTAACCTCACTGTGTCCTCTACTACCCAGACGATTGGGTTGTCTGGAGCTGAGGGGCAATGAGGAGCAAAACTGTAAGCAGCGGGCATACAAATGTAATAAATGTTGTAGCAGGGAATGTTCCCTAGTACATGGAAGAGATGTCATTTGATCAATTGAATTGAATTAAACAAAAAGACCTTAATTTTTTTTGTGGGGGGAGGGGTGCCTGCAGTATTTCCCTTTTTTCAGTAATATGGTAAAATATGTTTAAGAAGTATGCTATGGTTTATGGGGTCAAAGAATTGATTTGCTACTAGAAATCATCAACATAACATGACATTAACACAAACATTAGAAAGTGGAGGTTACATTCATAGAACACCAATTGTCAGGACAACCTAGAGATACAGTTGAAACTATGAAAATAGTGATTTTTTTTTTTTGTATTAAGATGAACCTGGTCCCACCTTCCAGAGCAGCCATCTGTCCTAATGTAGGGTTTCTTATTGGCCAGTATGTAGCCTCAGAGTCTTAACCTAATGGAAACTGGCTTAAGCGCTTCCTCCATTGAAACGGCTTTTTTTTCTGTTTTTTTTTTGTCAGAGAATTAAATTTTTTTTTCTTGGGTAATTTACTGATAAAATCTTTGCATTTGGGTTCTGGGGTCTGGCCCCAAGGGGGAACAGGTAATAAAGGAGAAAATATTTTTTTTGTGTGTGATTTCACTGCCCCGCCTCTCCACCTCATCCTATCAGAGTATACTCTTCACAGGGGTGGACTGACCATTTGGAAACTCGGGCACTGCCCGAGGCCCGAGGTAAGTAGGGGGCCCCATGAGATACCCCTGGTACCTTTTTCATAGGCTTTTTTGAGTTTGGGCAAGGACACAGGGGCCCCATGATCCCCTATTGCCCAGGGGCCCCATGAGTTGTCAGTCCGCCCCTGTTCCTTCATTAAAATAATGCAAAGCATTCTCCGATGCCCTTACCAAGCCTCATAATTCAGCAGGGCAGCTGCTCGGCATGGGACCCCCAAAGCTGGTGGAGATGCGCTGGACCAATGTAACTATTTAAATATATCCATACCTGAACTCCTCTTTAGAGTTTTTTGCCTGGATGAATAAAAATATATAATTTTATATTCTTTATAAATTGCCCCACATCCTCCTTTCGTATTGTGATACCTCGACTTTGATGGCGTTTCCATGCTGATAATGTGCTGCTCTGCAGCCCCTGAACCTGGTTTACCCACGTTTTTGCGATACGGCGCTGTGTTACTTTAACTGACAATTACACGACCATACAATGCTGTACAAAAATGAGATTTGTTATTTTTTTCTCCCACAAATAGAGATCTCTTTCTGTGGTAGGTGATCACCCCTGCAGGTTTTATTTTTTGTGCTATAAACAACAAAGAGCTACAATTAAAAAAAAAAAAAAAAAAAAAAAAAGACTTTTTTCTATAAAACATATCCAATTAAAAAATTTAAAAAATAACATTTCTTCATAAATGTAGGCCAAAATGTATTCTGCTACATGTCTTTGCTAAAACAAATCCCAATAATTGTATATTGGTTTATGTGAAAGTTCGTGTCTACAAATGGCGGTATATATAATGGAATTTTTATTTTTATACTAGTAATGGCAGCGATCAGGGACTTATGGCGGGACTGCGGCAGGCATTCTGACACTGGGGAGGAACTGACTGACTGCCATCTCCTGTGAAACTAATACAGTAATCAGAGCTAATAAAAAGCACTGGCACTGTACTAATGACACTGGGCAGGATGGGGTTAACATCTGGGATAATCAAAGGGATAACTGTGTGTTTTACATTGTGTAATGTGTGCTGTTTTACTTAGGAGACATGCTGCTTTACATCTCTCTGCTGTGTAGAGTTTACACACAGATCACCAAGTGTGCCGACTGGGAATTGGTGATTGACATCCCCAGCCGCCAATAGTGGAGTGGGCAGGGCAGCGCACGCGCCCCCTACCCGGAAATGAAAATCACATATATATACGTGATTTTGCTCAGCTGTGCGCCGCTCTGTAGCAGTACTTCTGCTTTAGGGTGGATGGCAAATGGTTAAACAAATGCTTTGCCTGGCAGGAATATCGCAGGCAGTGTCCAGTTACATTGCTGTCTCCGGATTTGTTGGTTCACAGTTGTTAAAAACAGTTTTTGATTGTTAATAGTTAATATTTTTTTTTTTCCCCATTCAGTTTTTTAAACGGTTTTTATTCTCTATATACACATTTTTTATTTTATGGTCACCGCATACACTTTCATTTTCTAACGTCAGCATTGTAATAAAACACACAAAGTTACTTGTGGTAAACCAATAAAAGCTTTACAACAAAAATCTCCATTTGTGTTGAGTCCTGCCTGTGTGTGGCCAGTCCTGCCTGGCCAGTCCTGCCTGCGGCCAGTCCTGCCTGTGTGCTGGCCAGTCCTGCCTGTGTGCCTGTGTGCCCAGTCCTGGCCAGTCCTGCCAGTGTGTGCTGTGTGCTGGCCAGTCCTGCCTGTGTGCCTGGCCTGTGTGCCGGCCAGTCCTGCCTGTGTGCGGCCAGTCCTGCCTGTGGCCGGCCAGTCCTGCCTGTGTGCTGGCCAGTCCTGCCTGTGTGTGCCTGTGTG